TTTATTAATAATTAATTAAATCACTTAACTAACCAGCGGATCTGTTTCTATCCACACTCACCCGCTAACACACAGAGAGTAACTGCTCCCGAAAGTATAAAAAACGCACCATATATATATATACCCGCGCTTCACGCGGGTAGCCAGGGACGATGCTGGCAGTACACACCATATTATCCAACAGATTTAAGTATAGCAGCAAATGCGGTGTATATATCAGGCGATTGTGATTGGAACATAATAATCTATATATAGTTGTCTGCTTCTCTTGCAAGAAGTTGGTAAACTGAGTAATACTTGAACAAAATATATATAAAAAAAAGAAAAGTGAAATAAATTGCCTAAGGGCACACATAAGTAGAGGTACATGGAATCATGTCACAGAACCACCAATGTTAAATGTTTCTTACGCTCGATTAAGTGTCTATTAGCCAGCTCAGAAATCATTTTTTATTTGGCTAGCATCGAGTCATCTTCTTGTCTCGCTTGGTAGGAAAGATGGGAGTAACTTCGTTGTAACTTTGATGATTTGATGCTTAAATACTCTTTCTTCTTTTAGCAGCGACATATTCCTACGTTGTGGCTAGTCTTAGGGGCGCGAGAAGGGTTGTTTTGGAGTGTAGAAAAGATGGGAGTGTGATTTAGAAAGTGAGGATGACGGAGCAAAAGAAATTTCTGTGTTTTAATATTACATATAGATAAAGGATTTAGGGGTCCAGCAGACGATTTACCTTAAAATGGCCGGAGCTATAGCCTCTGTAAAAAAGGTTCAAAGGAAGAGACATAGCATGCCCTTATGCACTGCGGAAATTAAGGATACTGACCAGACGACACTTACATATTTCAAACCCAGGCAACATGTCTGACAGATTATTATTTTTCTTCAACCTAGACAGCCTTGGATCTTGAATTCTTGACTGCCAACAACTGTTTCCAGTTTCCACACCTGCCAAACTTCAGCGTGCACTCCTCAGGTGGAGTCAACCATTGCAACTGGTTAATCAGCAGAATCAAAGCGCAATAATAAGCAAACACAGAAACAATATAAGGAGAGCTGAAGCAGAATCTGCTGCAGCCGGTACTGAAAATAATCGAGAATTACGATTGAGCTTTGATGTTTTACTGAACTGAAAAAATGGCATTTTATCACTTAAATGTGCCAAGTGTGGAATCTACTCAATGGCTGAACCGGACTAACTGTGGAGTGGTTAGAGTTAAGAATGGTCATATTACCTTGGCTGAATTGGAAGCGGAGTTATCTGACATATACAGTAAGGACCGGCCTTGGCAAATCAGAGAATTGGAACTTGAGAGATTTTTGGTGAGATTTCCACCTCATAAAAGGGTCAGTGACATCAAAAATTACCCTTCCTTCAATCTGAGGAAGGATGGGGTTCAAGTTGAGGTGCTTGAATGGATTGGAGATCTGGAACCCCACAGTGAATCGGAGGAAGTATGGGTTGAGATAAGAGGCATACCACCTAGATATTGCCATTGGAAAGATTTTGCTCAAATTGCTTCTGGTTTTGGCTTACTGACTGAGGTTGATTGGTCCACAGTGTTCAAGACCTTTTATGAGGTTGTCAGAGTTAAAGTGGCATGTAGGAATGGGAAGAAAATTCCTAGACAAAGGTTATACGAGATGGGGATGAAGCTGTATGTTATAGAGCTGACAATGGAAAATGAAGCTGATGTCGGTAAAGCTACTGATGACAAGGGTAATGATGATGGTGGGGGCGATGATAAAGGGAATCCTGGTAATGATGATGAGACAGATGACTTGTACGATTCTGATGACGAGATGAACCATCTGTCCAAGCCTGCTGAAGACACAAAACAACAAACGCCAAAAACTTCTATGCCTAAGATTACATGAAGCAAGATAGTAAATATGGAGTTGATGACAGAGGACGTAATGAATCAGGGTTCTATTATGGTGCAGATGATGTCGGAACAAGCTAAGCAGTTGACTGCTCATGATGATCAAATGGTATTGCAGCCGAGTTACATTGATGTAACTCAGATGGAAGATTCATGCCTGAATCTGAAGGATGGACATACTTCTTTAAGGAAGAATAGTCTACAGAAAGAATCGGGTTATGTGAATACAACTCAGTCTTTTGGAGGAAAGTTTCAGAGCTCCCTTGAGGAATGTTCTGGTGTGAAGAGCTATGATAATGAAAAGGTTTAGAGTACCCTTGAGGGATACGCTGAGGTGGATAACTATGAAACACCGGTAACTAACCAGGTGAAGGATTCGAATTGTAAGATAGTTGGCAACAAGCTTCTTAGTTTGCTGAATGAGGAATCACATCATTCCAAATGGGAGGAATTCAGAAAAATGGCTAAGCAGGATATTGCAACTGAGGAATGCTCATCTCTGTTAAGAAGAATGGAACTGGAAGTTTCTGAGGAAGAGGTGGAAGCAAGTGATACTGAACATATGGATGAAGATGAAGAATTATCTAGTCTACAAGAAGAGGGATTTATTCAGACAGAGTTGAACAGAGAAGTTCTAATCATTGAGGAGCAGCTGATCAACAAGAGCCAGAAAAGGAAAAACAAGTTGGGTCCAACTCTTAGGTTCCCTAGATCTAGAAGACAGCCGGAGGATGGGCGCACCATGCTGGAGAAGGCTCAGGAATTTAAGAAAATTAAAAATCTAGAGACAAGTACTAAACACAAATCTTCTTTTGCTTTTGAAAGCAGTATAAGTTTACTTGAAAAAGCTAATATTACTAATATATCTTTGGGTACTAATAGCTATAATCAATTAGAAAAGATAGAGTTATTGAAACAAAAAGAATTATCTAATAGAAGGGAGTTTGAGGAAAGTAATCCTGAGACTACTTTACATGCAAACCTTGATAGTGTTTTAAGTTGTGAGGATTTTCCTCCACTGATTTCTGATACTGACCCTCCTTTGAAGGATCAGTTAGATTTGGGGGAACAGTCTTGGGTGCAAGTAGCTTCTAAAAGCTACGATAAGAGTCAATTTAGGTTGAGCAATGATAGAAGCTCTATGGAATATTAGAGGCCTTAATAAAGAAGGCCGGTTGTAATGTATCACAGACTTTGTTAAAGAAAATCATTTAGATTTTGTTGGCTTTCGAGAAACAAAAAAGAGAGTTTTCAAGATTCTTTTCTAAAATATGTTCAAAAAGACTTTAACTGGCAATACCTCCCTGCGGATGGTACGACTGGTGGTATCCTTGTCGGTTTTAGTGAGAGAAAGTTTGAGGTCTTGGCCTAGAAGATAGGAGTGTACAGTGTAGCTGCAATAATTAGAAACTGTCACGATAATTTTGTGTGGAGGCTAATTACGGTCTATGGTTCACCTTACGATGAAGGAAAACAAGAGTTCGTTAATGAACTTGAAATTTTACTTGATAATTGGGATGACCCTACCGTGATAGGTGGAGATTTTAATTTTTTCTGTAATGTTAAGGATAAAAGTAATGGAGTCATTAACCACAAATAGGCAGATTTGTTTATGGACTGGGTTAACAAGTTTGGTTTGATTGAATTAAAACCTTCATCTAGAGCGTTTACCTGGACAAATAATCAAGAGCAGCCTATTTTGGCTGCTATTGACAAAATATTTTGCACAACCAATTTCGAACATAAGTTCCCTTTGGCCTTTGTGTCTACTAGCTCTAGAGCAAGCAGTGATCATGTTCCTCTTCTCCTTAATTTTGGCATGGAGGAGAGAAGGAAACCTAGTATTTTTAGATTTGAGAAGTGATGGTTACAACAGCCTGATTTCAAAGAGCTTATTGCCAAATTATGGAACACTCCTTGTGCCTTCACGGACCCTTTAGACATTTGGCAGTTTAAAATTAGATTGGTTAGGAAGAAAGTTAAGGGGTGGGCCTTAAATATTAATGTCCAAGTTAGAAAACAAAAGTTAGAACTCTTTAAGGAGTATGACCTGCTAGACTTGAAATATGAGAACTCTATTACTACTGAGATGGAAAGACAAAGGATGAACGAGATTGTTAAAGATCTAGAATCTATTTGGAAGTTAGAGGAGATTAAAGCTAGACAAAGATCTAGGGATAGATACGTAAAAGAGGGTGATAGAAACACAGCATATTTTCAAGCTGTGATAAATCAAAGAAATAGGAAAAAACGTATTTCTGGGTTAGAAGGCCCTGATGGTTGGATAGATGATAACAAAGGCATGCTTGAGCATGTTGTTGACTTTTACAGAAAACTGTTTGATAAAGAAGAAAATAGTTGTGTTAAGTTAGGACAAGATTTTTGGGAAGTGGATGAAAAAGTGACTGCCTTAGAAAATGAGATGTTAGAAGCTTTGTTAGCTTCCTAGATCTTTAGATACCATCATAAGAACGCTATTTGGGTTAAAATTGTAGACTTTAAGTATAATACCAATGATCCTAACATCTTTTGCTGCCCAGATCTAGGATCATCCCCTTTTTGGAAAGGGGTCTTCTGGGCAGCTCAAGCTACCCATATGGGCGTCAAATGGGTAGTAGGGAATAGGAAGAAGGTAAGGTTTTGGGAAGACCAATGGGTAGGAAATACAAGTTTGGCCATTATGTTCTGGCCGTTGTATGTCATTAATGAACAACATGGTAAGGCTATAAGCCAGGTCTGGGATGGGCATAAGCTTATGCTCACTTTTAGAAGAAATGTATCCGAGGCTCTTATGAGCATGTGGTGGGAACTCTGTGGTGTAATAGAGGGAACCATCCTCAACGATGATGAGGATCAGATATTGTGGAGCTATACCTCTCATGGCACATACACAGTCCAATCTCTTTATGCTAGGATTAATTGTAGAGGTGTGTTTCTGGTTTATACTCATGCCATATGGAAGCTTGTGATTCCACCTAGAGTACAATTCTTTCTGTGGTTGCTCTCTCATAACAGAACTCTTACGAGGGACAATTTACAAAAAAAAAAAGAAGAGATGTTTCGGATCCCACTTACCTTTTTTTTAGTTAACATGAATCCATTCCGTATTTATTTTTTGAAAGTTGTGTAGCCGTGAATGTTTGGAAGTTGGTTGCTGAGGTTATAGGTGTGAATATCAGTTCTTACTCTGAGTCTGTAGCTAAGTTGTGGGTTGCGAATAAGAAACATTTGGTTACTAATGTGATTTCGTCTGCTGTTTTGTGGTCCTTATGGAAGTTAAGAAATGAATTTTGCTTTCAGGGGATGTTTTGGCTAGGTACAAGGATGGTGCTGATCAGGATCACAAAGATGCTAAGAGGCTAGCTTTCAATGTTCAAGCAGAAGGTTGGAGTGTTGCTGGAGAGCAGAACGTCAAGATAGAAGAATTGTCAAGGCACCTGGCACAGATCCCGAGTGGAAGGAGATGGCAACAGCTACATCATCACAATTGGTTCCATCAGAGTCTCGGTCTTCAACAAATGCCAGGAGTGATTTAGCTTTTGCTGGGGTTTTGTAATAAGCAGATGGGCTATATTGTGTGCTTCAGTGTGATGCGCTTATGCGCCTAAACTTTGTCTGATCTCGAACCGTTATTTGCTTTTTGAAATATAAAAGCAGGGGAGACTTTTTGTCTAAAAAAATTGGCATTTTATAACAAAGCTATTTAACATGCTTGGATAGTAGCTTTGGTATACAACTGGTATCATATTAATCGGTCAAGCTGTACCTCAAAATTACAGCACTGAAGTAAAAAATAACTTGATATATAAAGTAAAAAGGAATAGAGGAGACAGTGAGACATTAGATACTAATACATCAGTTCAGAAAAAGAGTCACCACTTCAATATTTCTGTAATCAACTGAACCCACAGCTTGTAGTCGGAAATTTACATCACAATGTTTCGTGCATGAAACACCTCTAGTTAACATAGTATCAAAAGGCATGGTGCAGAGACCTCAGATTTCCAGTATAGTTCTTATCTGTTCAGGAGAGTGCTTAACCAACGACCTTGGGTCAGGATAACTGTTATTTGGATCCATCACTGCGCTGTAAATGAGCTCATAAGATTCTGCTAGAGCTCTTGCCAAACCATAGCAAGCATCTGAACGTAACCTTGGAACCTGCAGTTGCTCAAATTCAGGCAAGGAACCTTCTGTTCCAGTCACAATGCCATAGAATGCCTTCAAGCATTCCAGAAGCATTTGTGGCGACGTCTCAATAATATCTGCCAGAGGCTTTGCATCAGCCTTGCTACCATACTCCTTTATGTATGGCATCTTATTTGACAGTCCACATTTCCTAAGAATGCTGTCAACTTCTTTATCGACAAGGGCACGAATATGTGTTTCAATCATAGAGCGCAGGTTGTTTACATAGCTTGTAGCAACCTCCTGGCCCATCAATGGCTCCTGAATAGCTGATAAGCAGTTGATGAGGTAGACTTTGGATGAAGATTCAGCACTCTGCATGTTACATCGAATGAATAAACAAAGTGGAAATGACCAAGTGGTTAAGTATAAAACAAGATTTACTTTCTTGGGTGAAAAACAAATGTCCAATTTGATCATGAAACCAAGAGCACACAATTTCCATCTGGCAATGATGTTTTTTTAGTGCAACATAAAAAAAATCCTTATCATTCCTCTTTAATTACATTCTAATGGAAAGAGGCAATCAGGAGAAATTAATATCAAAGCCACAAAACCAATCATGAAATTCAGAACATGTGCAGTTTCCTCATAGAGCACTATTAAGGAATGGAAGAATGACATGTTTACAATTTAGCAATTGAACAATCATGACTGTTTCCCTATATCTAATAACATTGGAAATAGAATAAGAAATAAACTAGAAAAATGTCAGAATTTTGGTATTGCAACTGTAAGGAACTTTTAAGACATCAGCTTGCACATCATCTATATTTCATTAGACCATGTGATAGCCAGTTGCAATAGAATGAGAGAACTACAAGAAAAAGGATGCTACGTTCAGTATTGCAGTCAGAAGAAACTCTGTAAGGGTTGGCACACAATGTCCATGTTCTGTTAATCTAAGTGAACCCCGGTATAGACAAGCTATACCCCCTCAGTTCAGTGGCTACATCTTTCCTAATATGATCTAGTCATCCTATATACTCCCTCAATTCCAAATTACAAGACGTTTTGGCTTTTCTAGATACATGGTTTTTGTTATACACATAGATATACATAGCAAACACAATGTATCTAGAAAAGCCAGAACGTCTTATAATTTGGAATGGAGGGAGTACATGGTAAATATTAAAAGTGCTGCTACTAACCAGAACCGAGGTAGATAAATTCTTAGACAGAATAGCATCAACTGATATAGAATCCCTGCTATTCCCACTAGGATCAGAGCTTGTTCTACCACGCCGCCCAAGTGAACCTTTTGACTTCTGTGCCTCTGCAGCTTGCTCACACATCTGAAAAGTTAGGAATATCAGTATAAGTACCACATAAGTTATGCTGCAGATAACAAAGAGTTATTCTGCTGTAACAATAAATGCTAATAAAATGAAGGATTTACAATAGAAATTGCTGGGCTATCACTCAGTATAGAGTTTAACATTTTGTAGCAGTAGCACATACCATAGCATTTGGCTACTTGGTATGTATGACTACAATAACCTAAAAGTGCAGTAATTGTATCGTTGTAGTGAAGTAATCCATCTAACTGCTACAAGTGGGTTTGGTGCTATGTGAGAAAATACACGCTACTATATCACGAGAGGCTAGAACTACTTCATATAATGCTATTACATTTAAATAAAAAAACAGTATCAAATTATGCACAATAATGACTTCCACTGCTATGGTGGTGCTAGTAGCCTGTCAGGCATAGCTGTCCAATTTGCTCATCATCTGACCAAATTGCATCTTAACACATTCAAATCTGTCCAGTATTAGAAGCACCCTCTTCAAGTCCTAGTCTTCTCTACTCAACTCCTTTCTTTGACTGAAGTATGCTGTTCAAAATCATTACATTAAGCTTCTTTTTAATTTCTATAGGATATCAGTATCAGTATCAAATTGATGCACTAGGGTAAGCCACAAAAAAAATGATGGCATTAAACAACTGAAGAGTGAAAATATGTTGCTATTAGTGCTACTATTCACAATAACTCTGTAAGTCTGTAAAATCATACCATGGGCACAATTAGTAATAGAATTTAAATGCTATATATGATACCAACACCCATCAGATATTTGCATAACATTATATTTATAAGGCAAACCTGACAGCTGAGAGCTGACAAAGAAAGCTCACCTGAATTATAGGATCCAGTAATGCAGAAATAACAGGGTCAAAGTTTGGTCTTTTTCCAGAGGCAGGAACCATCATGCTATTGTAGGTATCTATGAGCTCAAGCAGCAAAGAAATTCCTTCTCTAACAGCTGGTGGGGGAGAGAGATCAACTGCAACTAGTGGAGGATATCGCAATAACTTCTCTCCCCGACTCTTCAGGATATTGAAGAATGTTTGCTGAGCTGCATCTCTAAGTGACCATATTGTATTGCACAGTGCAGTGTCTTCACCCAGCAGTTCTGATATCTAAATGAGAAGGAAATTATATATAAACAGAAACACCTTTTTATTTACTTAGCTCCAAAAGGTATTATTCAAGACTCACCGTGTAACCATAGAATTCCAAGGTATTGCTAAGTTTGAAAGAAACTATCAGGCTTGGCTGTGACTGCAAAACTTGCTCAACTCGAACTTTAAATGGCCGACATGCTCCTTCAAATATTCTATCAAGCACAAAAGTTACATCAGGTTCTCCTCTGGAGGAATCACCATCTCTACCAGACTGACGTCGAGAAGTTGGACCGCTGTCAGTCATTGCATCAGGATCAAGCAAGACAACTATAAGCTCTCTTTCTGATGCCAGGGCCTTCACAAGTTAAAGAATGAACATTCAGGTGCATGATTTGAAAAGAATTATTACATGTTGGCCTATGTCTAGTAGTATAAGGGTAGAGTAAGAGGAAAACCTGATGCAGCCAACCGAGCATTTCGCCTGCATAGCGAAGAGGATCATGAGCATGCACTTCTATTGGTCTTGGGAGCCCTCCAGGTCCACCTCTAGTAAGAGCACTTATAAACCGCCTGAATAAGGCATGGTGCCTCATGTTGGCAACCTGTGAATGAAGATAGCCACCATGAGATATCATTTGAGGTAGTGGTAACTTTGCTATATAGAAGGTATAGATTACCTCCTCTGCACAATACTTGAACAGTACAGGTCTTTCCTTCAGGCAGCGAACAGCCATTTTCAAAAGCTCACTTACTTCAGGATTGTCAGTATCACCTAATTTTTTACATTCAGCTTGAACCCACCTGATAAAACAATGAAATAGATGAGTTATATGCTTGCATGTTAATACCCCATCTGATGATATAGTAAGTAGTACTCCCACCGTTCTAAATTATAAGTCGTTTTGGCTTTTCTAGGTACATAGTTTTTGTTCTGCACCTGGCATAAGCTATGTCTAGATACAAAATATAAAGTACTCCCTTCGTTCCAAATTATAAGACGTTTTGGCTTTTCTAGATTAATAGCTTTTGTTACGCATCTAGATATATGTTATGTCTAGATTCATAGTAAAAGGTATGAATCTAGAAATGCCAAAACGTCTTATAATTTGGGACGGAGGAAGTAGAATGCTAGTTTGGCAGTACTTATATATCCTGAAATATGTCAAATTGGAGCACTGGTCACTACCAAAAATGGAAGAAAAAAAAACCATTTTACTTCTTCGTTTCACAATATTTCTCTGATTTCATGGTAACCGGTGATTCACAATGTTCTTCCACTGAAGAAATCAAGTGACTATAGGGAAATACCTGCATAATCTTTCATAAGCCCCTTCTTGGTATACAGACATCATATCCATAAGCTCCAAACCAGCACGCTAGAAATATAAAAAAAAAATGGACATTTTATATAAACATCTAATGTCGTTTGATAAGGAAACTAACTATTGGAAATTTGGAAAGATCACAATGTCAAATCATTGTTTAGTATAATCCATACTTGGCTAGCATTTTGGGAGAAAAAACAAAAATCCAAGATCGAAGTTCAAATAATGATATCCTGTTGTTTTTTTCCCTTAATAAAATGCACAGTACTTGTTTTTCTCTTTAGGGTTTCATGAACATGAATGTTTACAAGTCGTCCGATTAATTGCGATTACTCGTCCTAATCGGTCCCTGGTGCTCGATTTGGAGGTTCGACTCGATTAGCTCGACCAGAAAGCTGGTCGTCCGACTAGGCCATGGACGACCGGGCCTATATGTGGCCTATTGGGCTTCCAATTTGCCCTGTTAGGGTTAAAATAGACACAAAAAGCAGGAGGCAATCAAGGATTCTTCGCAACGCAAACCAGATTTACTCAAAGAGGTACTAAAATACTATGACAACAGATGGGAAAACCAAATGGAGCAACCCTATACTTGAATCCAAGCAAGTTCTTTGCCCTAAAGGAAAAGGATAAGAGACAAGCAGGAAGGCTGAGAATCATGTTTAATCAAGTTATGTGGAAGATGGTGACTGATGAGGAGGAGCAGAACAAGATAAGCAAGCAGGCAGAAGACTATGAGAGGGCTGAAGGCGAATCCTTCTCACAGCCAGGAGCAATAAGAGACAGAGATAGAAAAAATCCTAGTAAGTTCTCTAATAACTATTTCCTTCCCTTTTTCTAAAAGCAATCAGCAATGAACTTGCCTAGGGCTGCTGCTACTCATGCTGCTGTTGCTGCCCTTGTGAGGCGTACTTATGCTAGGACAGGAATATGGACCTCTGGACATGGCAGAAAAGAGAAGAAAACAACTCCCACAAGTAAGTCACCAGCTAAACACTAATGTAGTCTTGATGCTTGCTTTATTGTGTATACTATATAGTATATATAGGTATATAATATAGTAGGTATATATATCCTAATATATAGGACGACTAGGGGTCGACTAGGTTCGACTAATCGGCCTGGTCGACGACTAATCGCGATTAATCTTCTGGTCGGTCCCATGGCGACTAGGTTCGACTGGACGACTTGAAAACATTGAACATGACTACCTTATTATCAGCAGTTGATAATCCACCTTTCTGAGGCATCAAAGGCTCAAGGCTACCAAACTTCGAGGACAAAGCAATGGTACCTGGTGGTGTGTTCGCAGCAGGACCTTGCAGTTTGAGTGTATTTCTTGAACATGCAGCAATGCTTTGAAGAATTTATCATCTATCTCTTCTTCCCGAAGTGCATTTATCTTTTAACCATTAACAAAAGAGCAACACATAAAATTGTGAATGAATACAGTCATGATGTCCACCTTAAGACAATACGGCATCAACATAACAAACGAATGTCATAATTCAATTAGTTTTGCTTGGATAGAAAATGGACCTCTTCATTTGAAAGTTGGTAATCCCGCAGGAAGCATGACACAATTTCTTGCCGCTGAGTGATAACTTCTAGTTCCTGTTGCAACCTCTCTGTTGTACTAATGATGTCCCCAGTACTTGCACTGCAACTGCTCAATGCTTCCTCGATCCTAATATAAATACAAAGAATATAAATGAGTGGCAGAAGATGGAATCATGGAAGCACACCTTGAGATTAAAAGGAGACTTAAGGGACCAAACTTGGGTAGTACAAGAAATCATATAATGAAATTTTAAGCCCGTATTTTGTTACCTACGGATAAAAAATGTATTCAGCAAGACAAAATGCTGCTGGAGATACAGAATTTCTAGGTAGCATTTGAGCAACTGTAACATTTCAAGCTAGCCCGTTGCAACTATAGCACAGCCCTAGTATCTCTTTATTGTTTTTGTTAACACTCACTATATGATACTGATTATTAGTTACTGGTTCTTAATATTTCATGAGCAATTTCCGAGTAAGCAGAGCAGACAGCAGAAAACAGCACTAGGGCAATGAACAAAGCAACTCACTTCTTCCAGGAGTCGTTCAGCGCGTGCACCTCCCCCTCGACGCGATCCAGCGCCTGCAAGCAGAAAGAGCAGAGCAAAGCAAAGCAATCACCAAACAGGGCACAGCGGCTGTGTAACGAGGGGCAGGTGACAACATCGCACCTTGTGGGCGGGGAGCGAGGCGTCGAGGAAGTGGCGGTTGATGGCGAGTGCGCGCTGCTCGATGGAGGACTTGAGGTTGCGGCGCGCCTGCGGGGTGTTATGGACGTAGAAGGTGGAGAGCGCGCCCAGCGAGGCCAGCAGATCCGGGTTATCCGTCCGCGTCTCCAGCACCTTCTTCAACTTCCGGGACACCCCCGGAGCTAGCGCCGCCGCCATCCCGCCCACTGCCGTCACGGATTAGCGATCGTGATCTCTTTTCTCCGCCCCCGCCTTCCTCCGCCTGCGAGAGGGGGGTTCGGTAGTTCGGGATCTGAGATGAGAGGACGGAGGAGTGAAGAACTGAAGATGGGTCGACGACGCCTCGGCAGTACCGCAGTAGTAGCCGGACGCGGGGAAGGCAAAGCCTTCTGCAGACTTTTCGTGTGTGTCATTATAAAAGATCGTAATCCCCTACGTGTTTCTGAAAAAATTCAGCGGTCTTTAGCGTCACTACTTCAACTTTTTCGTGTCATCCATGCCACTTCTGTCAGTTTGGGCTCTAACGCCGTCAAACTGCAGGTGTGAAAAGACAAAAATGCTCTTAAGTTCAAATATGTTATTAATTTTTTTTGAGCATCTTAATGACTTCAAATGAAAAAACTCAAAACTAGAAAGTTGTAGATCTCGTCGAGATCTATAATTTTCATATATTTTTTTTAATTTAATTCCACAAAAAAATATGATTTGATATGATTAATATATCTTAGAAAAATCATATTATTTTTTTACGGAATTAAATGAAAAAAAAAATTTATATGAAAATTATAGATCTCGACGAGATCTACAACTTTCTAGTTTTGAGTTTTTTCATTTGAAGTCGTTAAGATGCTCAAAAAAATTTAATAACATATTTGAACTTAAGGGTATTTTCGTCTTTTCACACCTACAGTTTGACGGCGTTAACGTCCAAATTGACGGAAGTGGCATGGAGGACACGAAAAAGTTGAAGTAGTGGCGCTGAAGACCGCTGAATTTTTTCAGGAGCACATAAAGAATTACGATTTTTATAATGGCACACAGGGAAAAGTCTCAAGCTTCTGCAGTGCAGCCCGTGTGCCGATGTTGGGCTGTTGGCTGCATAGTTGGGCCAAATTTTTAGAGCCCGTGATAAACCCAATAAGCTGATTCATTCTTTTTTGGGGGGTGACTAATAAGCTGATTCCTTCAGTATTCTACCGCTTTCCGCTTCACCTTCGTCCATCCAGGCCGTCCACTATCATCAGACAATTGTCTTTATGCTTCTGCTCAAAAAAAAAAAAACTTGTCTTCATGCTTTTTTAGATTGAGATAGATTTACAACAGCATGATATCTAAACCACACGTCCACTGTCCAACAATGCTATCTAAACCACACGTCCACACTGTCCCAACATTTTAGTAACTTTTCATGCTGACATACATAATTTGATCAACATAGAAGGTATTCCTCTCCAGAAAACCAGAAAAGAAAAGGCACCCTGTTTAGAAGTCACAGCTCATGCTAAAAACTGGCGTGAACTGATAATATTGGGCTACGGAGTCATGTTTCTGTGACTACGCAGAGCAGAAACAACCAAAACTACATATCCCGCGTTGCCAAGACAAGATTTTTACGATGATGAAACTACCCGATGGCAATTACAATGAAATGACTGCGATGTTGTGGCAGTCTATCATAAAAATCTAAAACTATTATTTATGAGTCCATCTCCACAGGTTCTGTGGCTGTAAAAGCTAGTTCTTTGCCCATAATCACTGCAGTCATCATCAATTTACCAGCATCTGGAAAATCCTTGTGCTGCATCAGCACTTCTTCAACTGACAAGCATTTGCTCTCCAAACCTCTAAGATGTACATCCTCTTTCTTCACAGGCAGCACATCCTCAAAGGTGCCGTCATACACCACAGCATCCGGGCTGTAACACAACATGGAAGCTTTCAAGAGGACAGTTGCTTGAAGAGATTCTTGGATGACTTCGTCACTCCAACCTTCTAACGTGGAGGCCTCTGAAAGCTTTACCCAATCATCCTGGTCAGTTGCATTCATCCAGCATGCCTCTAGAAGGCCTCTGTTGGAGCTTCGGAACGATGAGCTTGTCAAAGCAAATACTTCAAAAGCTTTAAGGGAGAGCTCTCGGTCTCTCCTCAAGCACATCTCAATCAGTTCTGACGGACCAAGCAATGTGTTTGTATATTTGACTTGTGCATATTCTGGATCATGCTGAACAATTTCTTCCTGTACAGAAAAGAAAGGGCTACTATTAATCTGGTCTGCTGACCATCCCTACTCCACTCAGAAAAAGACAATGATACCATGATTTAAAAAGCGAGTTTTGAGGAATAGCCCACCCACACCACGTTAAGACCTCAGGAATTAATAACCCCGGGCTGATACAAGACGGTTACATGCTAATTCCCAGCCTAATCCCATTCACTTTTCATACTCTCTTCATTTTTCTTTCAAACATCCAACAACTTTCAATCAATCTAATTGCCTCCGGACTCCAAAACAACAAAAAATAGTTCAAAGTAACAGCCTCACAGGGAGCTACAAGCCTACAATGCTGTGCTGGTACCCAGTGGGATTACAGTAGGGTTTTCCATTTTCTTGTATAACTTGGATTTGAATACCCAAAGTACATAAGATAGAGCTTGCATTCAAACCACATAATTTATGTAGTTTGAATTCTGAAAGCAATTAATTAAGATACATTCATGGTAACATGCATCTATGTCCTGAGACGAAACAGATGTTGATCTATTGCTGAGTAGATTCTAGGCTCCCAGGATGCAAGGCGATAACATTTTACTATGAAATTTAAAAACGGATACCATGGCTACTTGACTAAAGAATAGAGAGTAACAAAACAAGTTATGCGTACGACAATTCACCTGCAGTTTTAGAATCCGCATGTCTGCTTCTATCCGTGGAACCTTCACTTCATAACCAATATCCTTACCTATTTGTCGATGGAAAATATATCAGGAATGCGTTATCAAGAGGGAGAAAATCTATGTTCACTTCTCTAAACTCTAAAGTTTTCTTCTAAGCATTCAGTAATTAAACATTTCTTATTCTGCAGAAACTTCAGTAGAATCAGGCAGGTTTTCTTGAAAACACAATAAGATCCCAAGTAAGAGGCCACATGAGACTAAAAGGGTTTGCGTAGACGTAATCCAAATTCTCATTGCTAAGCATGAGAAATAACTAATAACCAAGACAATCGCACAAATTCCTTATACAAATTTTGCAACTGATAAAATAGCATTTTCATTATGTAAGGGAATTCTATTTTGTGTAATGCCATAAATGTATGCAGAATATGAGAAGTTCCTGATGAACTGTTTCAGTGCAGAGTACCACGAAAGTACGCAGAAACACCTACCTGCTGTTGCAGCAATTTTAGAGAGATAAAGAAGACGTCTTCTTTCAACAAAGGATAGTGGCTTTCTGCTGGTTGTGAAGCTAGCATCTCCATCAGGACTACCACGCAGAGCATAGGTATGAAGGGTCTCAGAAGCAGATGAGAACTGGTTTAAGCATATCTCATGAAGCCACAGCAGATCACTCCGCTCTTTCAGAAAGCTTGCAAGCTCTTCCTGGAATTCTTCACCTAGCCTTAACAGCTTAGAGTAGTCTCCTCTGTTGACTAACTCTTTAAAAACAAAGAAACTGAAACCCCCATGAGGCCCTACACTATCATGCTGCAACAAGATGAACATTTTAAGTTAGAACCATGTCTCAGTAGAAGGTAGAAAGTGAATGACCAATACATTTGATGCTAAACTAATGAACCAAATTGAACATGTTATCCCCTACAGTAGAATAGGGGATTGGTAACAAATTCAGACATGCTCGTGATTTATACCATTAGGCTGCGGAGGAGACCTGAATCATCTAGATCATAGCAAATCTGCCACAGTGTCTGGTACCCTTCATGTCGTTTGGCTGTTGCTAAAATAGGAGAAATAACCTTTCTAAATATAGATTCTTTCAGATCTGGATTGTCCGTACCATCTTTTGACTCCTGATATATTAGGAAAAGATATTAGTTGTTATGTATGAAGCTCAAGAAATTCTACAGCTGCCAAAGAGGTAGACACCACACCAACCCAGCACACAAACATGTAAGCGAAATTGGAGATCATCCAAATACACCTTTGCCAGACTTCTTTATCATTCCAGTAGAAACCATTTTCTTTTTTACAACTAAATATCAAGCTATCCCCTCCGGTTTGCAAATACTTGAGGTTTTGTATAAGATTTGAGTCAAACTTTTAGAACTATTACAAATAATAACTTTTAAGGTATTTCGTTTAGAACTTGAAGGTCATTGTCTTCAAAAGTACTTAAAAGCGTAAATTTATTAGGATGTTCATTTATTTTCTAATGGAAAATAGTGGCCAAAGCTATGTTTTGGGGACCATGGCTTTGTACAAAACATCAAGCATTTGCAAACTGGAGGGAATGAAGGAAAACAACCTTACATTCATGGCAGATCACTGTACCATACTCGTATGTGTTATCACCAGAAATTGTTATGACTAAAAAACAGATACCGAATAATAGACTGAATGACTACTGTAGAAATCAAACGACAATCGGAGAACTAGTTGAGCCTAAATCATCCAAATGCAATACCATGGATCCAATATGAAATATGGCTACCTGAATACCAAAATGGTGCCTGATTTACTATTACAGATATGTGAATCAAGTTAGAATTTTGAAGGCTATTCCAGTACAACAGTGCATTATCAATTAGATAAGCTATGCTCATATTAAATAAGTACAATATCAATATTATCCAAGTGAACGACAGACAAGTACTCCCTCCGTTCCAAATTATAAGTCGCTTTGACTTTTTTGGTACATAAAATTTGTTATGTATCTAGATATATATTATATCTAGATGCATAGCAAAATGGATGTACCAGAAAAGTCAAAGCGACTTATAATTTGGAATGGAGGGAGTACTAATCAGACCCAAAAAAACATAAGATAACCGAATAAGCAAATAAATGGATAACATCCATTGCAAACGTTAAACATCTTAATGCAGTAATGATGATTCTTAGGAAAATAACGATGTTCAGCTAAACCAAACCTGGTATTTGACCTCCACTATTTGTTTAGCAAGGTTGTAGAGGGATCTGAGAAGTTCATCTCTTCGTTCACAATATTCTTGGACTAGCACACCATGTTCCTGCCCACGTTCAAATTGGGCAGTTAAAAGGCCTATATATGCCTCCAGTAGAATATCTGCGAGTCCTTCCAGCTGAGACCATAGACTATATTTCATTGACATGTCTGCAGCTCCTGATTCTCCCAAAAGCTCCATAATCAAGGATGCTAAACTCCAGATTCCAGACCGTACAACAGGTTGGCTGTTCCATGTTATAAGTCCTTCAGGAGATGGATACCATTCCTTGTGATCCTTCCTGTAGTGTGATGCTGCCTGAACTAAGGTGATACAAGCATTTGCTAACTCAAGTGCACGTTGCATCTGAACAGAAGGGTGTTCTTCTCTACTAATGATGTATTGAAGCTCATGGGGTAAACAATAAAATAGATCCTCTATATCAGAAACCCTACTGTAGAACACTTCAGCGTTATCACGATCCATTAAGAGAACCGTGTTTCTTCGAGCTTTCTCACCAACCAACTGAATAAGGCTCCAAAGGGCGCCAGTACCTTGGGTTTTCGACTGAGGTGATAAACGAGTGCTTGAGCGTTGCTGGATAAGAGCGTTTTGTAATTCCCTAAGGTGCGCCATTCCAGAGAGCTTTTCACCATGCTCCATGACAGTTAGCATTGCTGCTCCTACAGAATGATCAAATTGCTTCGTTTGTCAACTAGAACTATATTAAAATAATCCAGTAACGATCAAACTCAAAGAACAGAATCAAGCTTCTGTGTGTATGGCCGTATTGTCACCATAGTCCTACTCCTTCCATCCCAAATTATAAGACCTTTTGGCTTTTCTAGATACATAGTTTTTGTTATGCACTTAGATATACAATATGTCTAGATACATAATAAAAACAATGCATCTAGAAAAGCCAAAACATCTTATAATTTGGAAAGGAGGGAGTACATACTATTATCATTTCATCACTATGTTCAGGAAAGCAAAACTGTGGTATCTTATGAAAAATGATTAATAATCAGATATATGAAGACCATGTAACACAGCATAATAGTAGGACTACAAAAGGCTAGTTAGAACACTCCTATTAGGTAGAGTACATGATAAAATCCATCAGTTGTTGACAATAATGTTCACACGGATGTCATGGGGAAGAAGAACAGCTCTCAAATGTACTTGACTTTTACGATCAATTAGAAGTATTTGAATTGTGTTATTTACATTAGAATCGTGCTTCTATACTTAAACCTACAAACAAATAACAGTGTTTAATGAAGATAATAAACCAAAATGATGGTAAGAGTGAATCCATACTTTGCTTTGAAGCGAGTTCTTCATGGCACTTTGACAAGACAAGAAACTGAAGGAATTTCTCATGTTTTTGCTGCTTCTCAACAAGGGATGAAACAATTGTTGAGGCAAGAAATTCAGCTTCTCTGGTTGTTGTCCAGTGTTTAGCTAATGTGTTTACAATGGATTTGCTCGTCCGAACAAATATGTTCATCTCACCCTCTCTCTCAAATGCTCCTGCTGCTCTAAGCTTTTGAAGTGCCTCATTAACTGCACTGGAGATTATAAAATCATGAAATAACCGGTTCAGTAGCATTTCAGACTCTTCATCAACCACAGACTGCTGAGCTATGCCAGTTAATGCAGGCCTTTGCCTCTCTCCAGCACTCCAAGCCTCAGAGCTAACTCTCCTGGGAACAACACTAGCACTAAAGCCCTGACCTCTTCTTTTCTCCTCAGCAATTGTTTCATTACAACTACCCTTTCGTGACAAGCTGCGTTCTGGCGGTTCAACCCCACCAACTAATACAGCTTTTTCAGGAATTGCCCAGACTCCTGCCTTTTCTGTTAGAACAACCCAAGCACCTTCATCTCTGTCCTCAGCTGATGGGATAATGGAAGCATCTAAGACCTTTCCAGCATCCCAAGGCAGATCAAACTGATAAAGTCGGGTGGAACCTCTCCAATACATGGCCACTGTTGCTGTTCCATCACCTGACAGGATGATAACAGAACCAGAAGGCTTACCACCAGTTTTTAGCCTCATGGAGAACAAGAACTCATCATCCTCAACCCTAGCCTTAGGAATTATCACCTGAGAGGGAGCTTTTTTCTCCAAAAACCTTTCAACTTTAGCTACATTATCTTCAGACGAAAACTTCTGGTTAGGTTTGTACAGCATTGTCAAAAGAGAATACTGAGTGTAGTTTGACCCGCTAACCCTATCTTTGCATAATGTAGCAACAAGAATGCTAAATTCCTTCCCATGCTCATCTATCTGCATGTCCAAAAGCCATATATTTTTCTGCCCAGCTATATCTTTCTTAATGCCCACATCTCCGTCAGTACCAACAATTCCGTGAGACCCTAATTTTTGTACATTGATGTCATGCAAGAATGAGATACTCCAACATTGCACCTCATTGTTTGTCAATAAAAAGAACTTCCGGTCGGAACCCTCAGATGAGACATTACTTGGTAACCAAACCAAGGACCTTCCACCATTACTTTTCTGAGAATGATCGGCACCACCATCTCCTAATGTATCTGCATGAACTTTTCTTTGACGAATTCCTTCTGGTGAACACTGGAACAGCCACAAAGCACCTGCAGGCTCAGAAGCTATTGCAATGCACTCATGAATACATCCTGGAACTGCAGCCGCAATAAGCGAATTAAACCTCAAACAATCAGATGCAGCATCACATGCAGACACCTCACCATAACCTGATGAACTAAGAACTAGGCTCCTATTAAATTCAGCATAGATATCAGGCCAATAAGCAACAGCTTGTGTTCTTTTGTTGCAGAGGATCACACCAGTTGAACCTTTTCTATGCAACATCTCTCCACTGTTCCTTGTTGATGCACCACTATTATGCCATCTCATTATACAAACTGTCCACTGAATACCGAGGAGGGGTTTCACGTCACTGTATCTGATAAGAGAAGATGGAATGTCAAGTACAATACAGTCTTTTGCAACAGAAGCCAAGTAACTCCATATAAAAAGCTCATTTCCACATATCATCCACGCAAGAGATGTTTCTTTATCAATGCCACCAGCAAGCATGTTCTTGCCTACAAGAGTTGCGCAACAGGTATGTATGGCTCAGTACAAGCAAACTATTAGCATGTAAAATAGCGCGCACACAGTGAGTGGAAACAGTTACCAGAGAAATTCTTCTGTAGCAGGCTGGCTTGGGCATTCCGAACAACTTGGGGAAACTCTGCTACGTGCACTGGTTGGATCTGGTCCGAATCACCAGTCCTGTCAGTTCGCTTCGACGTCGAAATCCTGGAAATTCGCAACAAATAGAACGATCAGAGCTCCTACGCCTCAACTAAACGTGCTACCCTAGCGGAAATCCAAAATGAAGAAAGCAGATGTGCCCGCGCAGCACTCGCTTCCGGGGCCCTCAATTAGATACGGCCATAAGACAAAAGCAAATCAGCTGAGAAGAAAGGGATACCTAGCGAGGAGGGAGGAGGAGTTCCATGGGGCCGGGGTGCCGGTGGCGGGGCGGTCGGGCACGGCGAATCCGCGAGGCGACGGCGAATGGGCGGGAGCAGCAGGAGGAGGTGAAGGGGATTCCTCCTCCCTGTCCCTGCGGTTGAGGAGGTGTGGCCTCCTGATTGCCGGAGAGAACATCTTCGGCGGCGCGGTGGCTAGGCGGCTAGGACCTCGCCTTCTCCGACCAGCCGGCTTCTGGCTCTCGGCGCCCTCTCCGGTGGCCGGTGGGCTAGGGTTTTACTAGAGTTTGGCTTGTTTCTTTTCTGCTTTTGCGCTTTGCCCCCTGCTTCTAGGAGGGACACAAAAACGGGGAGATCGTTTTGAATTTTTGTGAAGGCAATAACCTCATGGGCAAACCTGACTTTTTTTTTTTGGCGCTAAATCTCCTGAGAACTACTCCCTCCCTGTCTAGGACGGTGCTGCGCCTTTTCTTGGAATTTTTTCACAAAATTTAGGGCACATGTACCTGGCCATGCGCGCACTGGATCACGTGTATGTGCACGTGGTGTAAGTGTGGATTGTGTGCGTCCTAGTTGTACCCAATCAAAAAAATTATAAGATATTTTAGTTTTATATATAAATATTTTTTTATGCATTTAGATATACACTATATTTAGATACATAGTAAAAATAATGATCTAAAAAAATCAAAACGTCTTACAGTTTAGAGCAGATGGAATAAAATTTTGCGTGAAAACCGCATATTGTCACCCCTAAATTTTCTAGATATACACTATATTAAGATAATGTTTGCAAGAAACAAATGTTGTTGACAAACATTTAAGCACGAGTAGATATTAAAAACTCTATAACACATACTCCTAATTAAGACACATCCCTCAAGACAGATTAAGAATGCTGGCAAAAGACACATGTACTCATCTACTTCCCTTCCCTAGAGGATATCGCTTGGTTTTAGCCGTTATCACTTACATGAGCCTATGATTAGTTCCTATATTAAAAGACAATGTTCCATGTCTGTGTGTAATGTTATTTATTTTGGGACAAATTTTAAACCTTAATTAGAAAGTTATTAATTTTGAGATGGAAGGAGTAATTGAACTATCTGCTCTATGGTATCCTAAATATAATACTCTAGAGCTACATAGTCTCACATGTATTAGGTTGACATGAGAAATGCCCAAAGATGATCCATGGGCGATCGTCAGATAGTGCTAAATAAGTCAGCTCGGACAGAAACGCCGGCTCATCATAGTGAATAGAGGGGGCATACATGTTCGCGCAAGTGAAGATGCTCCCGTCTGCCAGGAGTGAGAGGGTAGCGACTTTGAGTTGAGGAGCATAAGCTAAACGTGGATGGAGCCCAAGCTATGATCAGACCTCTCACCTCTGAAGCACCATGGGCATGAAGCGCGATGTGGTCAGCGAGACGATGGAAAGAAGGAGCGAAGCTTTGTAATTGAGGGAGAGCCGGAGAGGTGAGTTTAGTTTCCTGCAGCCCAACGAGATTGGCTTATACAATTAATAAGTTTAAATAGGACATCATCACATTTTCCCTCCTGGCCGAGGCCACGAACAGGAAACATCTCTAAACTCTGACTCAAGTAGGTTAGTCTTCCTTATTTCGGTGGCAAAAGAAAGATAAAGGAAGAGACGCCAAAAAAAAAAGAGGTTTCTCAACTCCGCCTACATGAATGTTGATTGTCGTTCGTTGGGCATCTGTTCTCAGGGCTTTTGCCAAGTGTTTGCCCATCTATACTACAAAGCGTCCTACAGGTTTGATTTTAAGATTTGGAACTATTCACAACATGGGTACAATTTAGATGAAAATCAGTTTCTAAATACTCCGTCCGTGAATACAGGGCGTAACTGTTTTTTTTTCAAGTCCGGGAATACAGGCGGCGGGCGGCTCGCTGAGCAGTTCACGCACGCTGCAGATGCAACATTTAACTTATACGCCCTTCTCCTCGGCTCCGCCACGCATGCAAATGGTCATGGTTACATTACACAACAAGCGCATGCATGTTCTCTCGAGCGAGACTAGTAATACTACTCCTATACGAAGGCAAGCACTATAAGTTCTCTGGATGCATCTCTTTTCTCTAGTGGCCATCTTCTCGCTGCATGAGTAAGCAGCATCTTCTTCTGTGAGACTAGTGCAGAATCTAACATTTTTGTGCAACGGACTTCTGTGAGACCACCAGTTTGTCCATCTCGCCATACGCTGCTGGACAACTCTCCACGGAACACCCATATTAGCAGCAATGGACTTCGTTACTCCTTCCTTCATCATGCCTGGAGCTGATCTTTCTAAGCACATGGCATAGATGGCCCTTTTTATGTCAGGAGGGTAGTGCCTCCTCCTCTTGATATTGTTAGGAGTGCCTACACACACACAAAAACATGCTCGTGTTCAAACAGCCGTACGTGCATGGGACATGCACATAGCAACAAAGATAAATGGAAAAAAACATTGACGCCGACATCAGAACGTCCATCGGGTACTAACCTGAATCGAATGCTTCATCGACAGCGGCGTCATTTTGGTCCATGCCATGTGCACCGTTGTCCGTTTCTTCAGTTTGGTCCATGGCGTGTACACCGTTGTTCGCTTCTCCAGCTTCAGGTTGAGCCACGGCCTCTCCTTCAGCCCTAGCTTCATCCGTGCCATCAGCTGCGTCGTTGTATATCTCGTCGTCATCGCCATCACCTGCGATGCCACCGAAATATTACACTTGGAAAGACGCACATGAAAACATAATCGAAACATAGAAATGGAAACCATGAGTACCTTCGTGGCCGGGGTCCCAAAGGAAATCATAGTCCAAATCTAGTACACCTCCTTCAAATTCCTCAATTTCATCCCAATCAATAGGCTGATTCAAATCTAGATCAGGCATTATGAGTAGAGGGAAGATTAGAGGAGTAAGAGGTGTGGTGTCCACTGTGAATAAGCATTCCCCTATTTATAGGAGGAACATACCGGAGGCACAGGCCATGGCGCCACATGCAAATCACTTTCCATTAGCGCCAATGAAAATTTGGTACGCGCCAAGGGACTAAACAGGCACGCGCAAAGGAAGGAAATTTCCGTTACATGCGAGAGAAATTAGCGCGCGCCGTGCTGCAGTTTCATTGTCACGCCAACGGGAAAGAAAATCCATCTGCATGCATGCAGCGCAGGGCAAGGGAATAGTCCGAGCCGTTGCTTTGGCGCGCGGAAGAGTGAATGGGCTTGCCGTTGATGCGTGCACGCATGCGCGACAGCTAATTAATTAGACGCGGAGCCGAAGCATTCTCCTTGGAAGCCACAGCATTAAACTCGTTTATTGGTCTTGGTGAAAATGGAATGGCGCCCAGTATTCTCCTTGGAAGCCACAGTATTTATATAGTCTAGAGTACTTATAACATGTTGATATAGCCAACTATTATCTAATATAATTTTTCTTTCGTCGAAAAAAAAGACTCAACTACAAGAGAACATGTGCACACTAATAGTATAATTAAGCCGGTAACACTTTCAATCAAAAGAAAAGAAAAAAAAACTTTTTACTTGGAAGCATGGCCAGCATGATGGAGATTCCAAAATGCAACACGGGACGATAACGAACAATCAATGTAGCATTCGCCTTGTTCATTTGGGCTGGTTTGACTTATAAGCCATGCCTGAAAGTATTGTTGATTGGTTTGGTGTGAGAGAAAAATATTGTTCGTTGGCTGATAAGTCATGGCTTATAAGCCAAATACGACCGAGCGAACAGGCTGATTGTCTGGTGTAGGAGCTGATGGAGCTGTAATAATAACTTGTAAGTTCGCAACAGCAGCTCGTCAGTCTCGTCTCGGCTTCATGGTCACAGGGAGCCCGTCCGCCATCCACAGCGTTAGCGACGCAACCTGCCGGGGCCGGTACGCGTCGTCCACCGCGACGTCGAGCTCCTTCAGCACGCACGCCACGATGGACTTCATCTGGATGTACGCCATCTCCTTGCCCAGGCATAGCCTAGGCCCCGCGTGGAACGACACGAACCGGAACGGGCTGTCTGGCCGAAACGTCCGTCAACAGGGTTGAGACACCGCTCCGGTCGGTACTCCCGCGCGTCGTTGCCCCAGACTGATTCCATCAGCCCCATCCCGTATGAATTGTACGCCACGAACCACCCTGCCCGCACGGTTGTGCCGTCGGGCAGGACGTCGTCTGTCTCCGCCCGCAGCGAGTTCACTGGCACCGGCGGGTACAGCCGCACCAACTCCGTGATGGCCGCGTGCACATAGGGCGTGATTGGTTGCCCGAACTACGTCATCATTTGGTCCACCCCGCATCCTTTGGTGCATTCGCATGTGTTTGGTTGCCTTACTCGTATCTTTCTCCTGCTTCCTCCCGTGCAGATTCGCTCCTCCATCCCAGACGCCGTCGTCTTCTCGATCCCCATTTTCCTCTCGGTGCAGGCTTGCTCGGTGCTTGGCGGGAACCTTCGCGCCGAGCGCGGGAGATGAGGCCGTTCGGGCCATAAAGCGCCGCAGCCGGGTCTCAGCTAGGGTTACCACCCTCACTCTTCGCCTCTCCTTCCGCCATAGCTCCAGTGCGAACTCCTGTCTTGCTCCTCGTCGACTTCGGTAGCCCTACCGAGGCGACCCTCGCCGGCGGATTTCTCTCGGTCCTCCAGCGCTTGGACGGTATATATATATGCCACCTGCGCTCTTCCCCTCCTCTTCTTCACTGTCGATTTTTTTGTTGATTTGTTGGTGGGTTTTGTTTGAAATGCCAAGAAATCAGGGTTCTTGGTTTGACATCCTCAGATCTATATGATGATATACCTGATTTACATGTTCCTAGCTCAGATCTGTACATGATGCTTCGTATTTGGTTTATACCTCATGTTTTGTGTAGATCTTGTATATGCTGATGCCTATTTTATTGTACACACTAAGCAAAGTGCCTAGAGGTCAATAATGTTGATTGGGTAACAGTATATGCTCGAGGAGCACCCTTTGGTGTGGCAGCTGCGTCTTTCATTGTTTATTTTGTCTGATTTTTTGCTTGCTAAGTAGTACACACCCATGTTGCATGCTCGCTTTCTAATGTTGCCCTCCATCCTGTTGTGGTAGACATGTCATTTGAAGCTAGGCGAAGGGCTGCCGCTGTTGTGGTTGTTGCAGTGGCGGCGTGGTTTTTCATATGGTTTAGGAGGAGAGTTGAAGATTTGCGCTCAGTCACCTATGGTCCCTTGGCTGAGAGGGACATACAGAGGATGAACAACCTTAGATACATCTATGAATCTGATGATGTGCACTGTGTCAACCTTCTTAGAATGAGGAGGGCCCCTTTTTCCAACTTTGTGACCTTTTTCGTAGTAGAGAGCTTGTCACTGACAGCATACATGCATCTGTTGAAGAACAAGTAGCCATGTTCTTGCATGTTATTGGTCACAATGAGAGGTTTAGGGTGGTTGACCTTACCTTCAGGAGGTCCGCAGAGACAATTAGTAGGTTCTTCCAGAAGGTGTTATATGCGGTAGAAGAGCTGAGGAATGAATTGATTGTCCCTCCTGCTACCAATGTCCATCCTAGGATCCTTGGGAGCAGAAGGTGGTACCCCTATTTCAAGGTTGGTATCCATAACTTGTCATACATAGATCTGATGCATTATCAGTTTAGTGTCAATGTTTACTTGCACTTATGTTTTTTCAATTAGGACTGCATAGGAACAATTGATGGTACTCATGTATTAGCTAGAGTGCCTGTGAAGATGCAAGCTGCCTTTAGAGGCAGGAAGCACACCATCACACAAAATGTGTTGGCAGCTGTGGACTTTGACCTCAGATTCACCTATGTGCTTGCTGGTTGGGATGGATCTACACATGATGCTCTTATCTTGTCTGATGCTCTTGAAAGAGATGATGGCCTTAGAGTGCCACCAGGTATCATCCAAACCAAAAAAAACTTTGACACTTTGCTTAATCCTAAATAAAACTACTAAAACATGTTCCTATCTGGTAATTTTTAGGTAAATTCTGTCTTGTCGATGCTGGCTATGCAGTGAGGCCTAGTTTCTTGCCACCATTTCGTGCCACAAGGTACCATTTGAGGGAGATTGGTTCAAACCGACCTCAAAATCAAAGAGAGCCTTTTAATCTAAGGCATTCGTCTCTTAGAGTAACAGTTGAGAGAGCTTTTAGGGCTCTAAAGAATAGATTTAGGATATTGGATAACAAACCTTTCCACCCATACAAGACCCAAGTTAAGCTTGTTCTAGCCTGTTGTATTCTTCACAATTGGATCCTCAGGCATGGGCAGGACGAGCATGTGTCTGCTGAATTCACATGGACACCTAACATCAATGATAATGCCTCGCAACCAGATCATGTCCCTGACAATGGTACCTGGGCACAACAGAGGGAGAGACATGGGCTGCATAGATGTGGCAAAACAGGGGGAATTCTAGGGTGTAGTGGCATGGTGTGTGTACTGTTTAGTAGCATTGGAGAAACTTGTATTTTTACTGAGACCTATGACACTTTGCAATGATGTAGTACCTATTCATTTTCTGCCTATTTGATCTGTTCAACTTGTATTTCATACCATGCAATTTGTTTTCCTTACGTACTGGTTGTGCATAGGAAATGGACAATGTGCCTGACCAGGTTGTTAACATTGGTGGTGAGGACAATGTGGTGGAACAGGGTGGAGTAGTTGCTGCTGCTGATGGCAACCAAGCAGCCCCTCAGGCCAATGGCCCTATGCACTAAAGTCCTGTCTAGTCTGGGTTCATGCTTAGGAGGTTCCATGATTTGGTGGGACAGGGGGTCAAAACTGAGAAATGGTTTAAGAAAGTACATGTTAGGCAGATTGCACTCATGGTCTCTGAGTTTGCTGGGGTCAATGTGACCACCCAGCAGATTTACAATCACCTAAGAAAGTGGAGGCAAAGATGGGTTAAGGTTGTTAGGCTCAAGGATTTGAGTGGTGCTCTGTGGGATGAGGACCACCATATGATAGTACTTGATGATGAACACCTGCTAGGCCACACCAAGGTTAGAAACTGCTTGGATAACACCTCAGCTATCCCTTCTCTTTTGTTTTACTCTCCTATATCTAATAGTTATATCTGTTTCACTAACTAGGACCAGCCTGCTGATGCTAAGTTCTTGAACACACCAATAGAGAACTATGTTCAGATGGAGGCTATCTTTGGTGGTAACCAGACAACAGGCAGGTATGCAATGGGCTCAAATGAGCCTCTGGGTACTCCAACCGACATTAGCCAATGTGATATTGATACCGTTGAGGACAACACTAACTTAGGTGGCACAGAGGCTGAGTCTGGAAAGGGAACTCCTTCTGGTATGGAAGGCTCTAAGGGTTCTGATGCCAAGGGCCAGGATGAAATGGGTGGCAAGAGAAGGAAGCTTGCCCTAGAGAAAATAGACCTCATGAATGGAATGATCAAGGCTGTGGAGTCTGTAGGAGATGCCCTCAAGACTCACAGCACAATGAGGTGCATCAGGATCTTTATGGCTGTGTTATGGACTGCCCTGGGTACTCACAGGAGGCACTCATATTTGTCCTAGTTTACCTGCTGAATAACAAGGCTGAGGGACTTTGTTTTGTTCAGATGACAGAGGCTCATAGGATCTTGTGGCTTAGGACCTACCTGAGCACAACCTACTTTGCTTAGATGCATATTAGCTGGCCTCTCCACTTTTGCTATAGCCATGCTAACTGTCTTATGCTGTAGGAAGTATTTTGATGTGTAGCACTTATCTCAACTGATGCTACAAAGAACCATTTGCTGCCTAACCAAGGCTGCACCTAGTCTGGAATAGCATAGGAGCCATGGTGATGGATGTGAGGCTTTATTGATCTGTGTGGTGTAGACATTAACAAAGGGTGATGGATTGTCACTTAGTTGATCTGAGCCCTAAAATACCTTTAATTGTCAGTTCACCTGATACATTTCAGATGCTGTTATTGTCCTTGTAGGAGTTCCTATTTGGTCGATGATGCAAATTATAACAATCTGAGGTGGCTGTGAGTATTATTCCTGTTGTTGCTTTATTGTCTGCTTGTGTTTTCTCATGTCTTTCATCAAACCATGGGATACACCTATTTCTAAGCAACTGTTGTAGGCATGCCTACCGGATGGCTAGGATGGACGTGTCCCACGGTTCCATGGGAGTCATGAACTTGCCTTAGTAATTTGTGTTCTTATTTGCCACCTGGGATGATTGCAGTTTTTGACTGAGGCTGATACAATTGTGAGATCCTTTTCATGCCTATGAAGATAACAATGCCAGTTTGACTAATGGATTATGCACATTGTTGACCTTGGACTTGTGAGGTACTGGAGCATTGTTTCTTCTATCTTCTGCTTATGCTTCTCATGGCTGTAATCAAATCATGTGAGACATCCATGCCCAAGCAACAGCTGGAAAATTCTGATGATCTGATGGCTAGGCTGGATGCCTCTCATGGTTTCATTCCTATCATGATCTTGGTTTTCTACAATCTGTTCGAGGTTTGTTGCTGTCTATATTTCTTAAGCTCCAAGTTTAAGGTCAAATGAAAAGACAATTAAATCTGAGGCAAATCGATTGAACTACCCTTTATTTTGTCAACATCTTATACTTGCTTTTATGTGTCTTTTAAGGGACAAATGGCTTGGTATGTTGTGTACCGTGGAAGAGTTCCTGAGGTATATTCAACCTGGGCTAGATGCAATGCCCAGGTAACTGGTTTTAAAAACAACAGCTACAAGAGCTTCCCTAATAAAGAAGAGGCAGAAGCATCATACTTAGAGTTCATGGGTTGTGAAGATAATAAAGTTTTTATCAATCCTTCACCAAAGGTGCTCAGCAACAAATCGGTGTTATTTGTTGTGGCTGTGGTGCAGTGTTTTCTGTTGCTCGTGCTCCTGTGGTTTGTTCTTGCTCGTTGCTACAACTGTCTGTGATGCTCAAAATACCATGGCTTGGTAAGTTGGTTGTCGGCCTGGGCGTTCGGTTAACCGATCGATTTCGGTTCGGTTTTTCGGTTTATGACACAAATTCGCTTCTCTAGAAATAGAAACCGATCGGTTCTTCGTAAATCTTGGAACCGAGCAAAATCGGTTTCGATTAGTTCGGTTCGGTTCCGGTTCCGACCGAACTAACCGAGGATTTACACAAACAACAAAAAAAAAAGAATAGAAAAAATAAGAAAAAATATTTTTAAAAAAGCACAATGCCGAGATTTTTAAAAATGTGAGGGTGTGAGGCTGTGAGGGGGTGTCATCCACCTTTTATATCTAGGGTTAAGTTGGTATTAGGCCTAGGTTGTAAGGTTTATTGAGCTTGTTTGTGAATTTCGGTTTCTTCGGTTATTTCGGTTAACCGAGCCCAGGAACCGAAATTTGATCAGTTAATTCGGTTCCTAAGAACTGAGAACCGAACAGCTAACCGAAATTTTCGGTTCCGGTTCTTTCGATTTCGGTTCCGGTTTTCGATGCGGTTCTCGGTTCTCGGTTATTTTTGCCCAGCCTTAGGTGCCTGTAGAGGAAAGTAACCTAGGGTCTATGCCCTAAAATGCCTCCTTACAGTTCTTCGGTCAACCAATGAAGCCCTAAAATACTTGGTTACCGGCTATTGCTTTGGTTCGGTCGTTTATTTTGATGACGCTTGAGTTTTTCATTGCTAAACATTGTTGGAGGTGCCTCTAATTGTATCATATTGCCTGTGATGGTTTCAAAATGCCATGAAAACATGTGGAGACAATGACCTTGTGAGAAACTGTTACTTTTGGGCAACCAATCACGCCATTGTTTATGATTTGCTGGAGTACTATTGTCATATTTATGTCATTAGAAGCTCTAAGGTCATTGTCAATGCCAAGCTTGTTGAACTGATGCAAAATTATCTCTGTTTCCTTCTATTATTCATTCTGCAATAGCTGGTGGTAATCACACCAAACTCATATATGGGTACTCAGACCTGGGGCAATGCGGCCAACCAAACAAGAACTGAATCACCGGTTCATACACCGAAACGGTGCAAACAGGAAACCAAACACGACGTTGCTCATCCGGTATCCTGTACTCGGTTGCAACAAACATACCCACTTGCATGCTTCCATCATGGCTAGGAAGAGCCTGCACAGACCCTCCATCCCCGGATCACCAATGGCGGAGCAACCAATCACGCTCGTAGTGCATGTCGCGGAGCTCGTCCAGGTCGAAACCGATGACGTTATCGACGTCGCCCTGTGCCCGCCGGGCGCGCACAGCAGCGACCTCGTCGCGGATGCGGCGGCGCTGCACGTCAGGCCGCGAGGACAGCAGCCAGAAGAACCAGGTGAGCGCCGAGGACGTGGTCTCGCGCCCCGCCAGTAGGAAGCTGATCACCACGTCGCGGAGGGGCACCTTGGACTCGGAGTAGGTCTCGTCCTGGCTCGCCATGAACCGCGACAGGAGGTCGTGCTTGTCAAAACCGGTTCTCAGCATCTCCTCCCGGCGCGACTGGATTATGCGATCGGCGAAGTCGTGCACCATCGCGATGGACTCCCGCAGCCGCTTCTCAGAACCAACGTTTAGCGCTTTCTTGATCTTCCAAAACCCCGGGACCGCGTACCGGAACCGGCCGACGCTGAGATTCGCAGCGTCACGGAACGCATCGGCGAAGGTGCAGTCCGCCGTGTCGTCGCCATTGCCCGCGAGCTGGCGCGGGTCGTGGTCGAAGGAGACGCGACAGATATTGTCGAACGCGAACCGCTCGAGCGCGTCCTGGAGATCGAGGGGGGCGCCGGACGCCGCGGCGCGCCGCAGCAGCGGGAGGAGGCGGCCGTGTAGCTCGGCGTGCACGCAGCGCGCCACAAAGGCACGGAGCGAGCGCGTGGTGAACTCGTCGTGGCTGGCAACCTTCCGCTGTCCGCTGCGCGCGCCAAGCCTCTCCGTCGGCGGTGAAGATGCCCCGGCTGAGGAAGTCGTGCAGCAGCGACGAGAACCGGGGCCCCTTGGGGTAGTTGTCGAAGCTGGTGCGCAGGACGTGCTCCACGTTCGCAGGGCTCGCCGCGATCGCGCCCCGCACGCCGCCCGGCCGGCGCAGCACGAATGTGCACGTGGTCTGGCGCTCGAGTGCCTCGGTCATCCAATCCAGCACGCGGTGCCGGTTAGCCAAGAACTGTGGGAGGTGCCCGATCAGCGGGTATGGCTCCAGCCCCGGCGGGTACGTCGGCGCTGCCTTGTTGACGATGCTTCGAGCTCTCCACGCATGAAGAACCAGGACTGCGCTGGCGACAAACAGCAGCAGCAGCCAGAAACCAGTCATGAGGACTCTGGGTCTTTGACGCGCAGCTGATTAGCGGGGGCCCCGGTGTGTGTTCTGTTACTACTTGGTACCTATACTGGGCTAAAGATACAAGGGCTCTTGTATAGTTTTCAGAATCTTCATTTTGGTCTTCGATTTCACGTTATATTGAGTTGAACTGACTCTTCTATGGCTAAAGCAATATACGATTTTCCAATTCCAATTATTAATGACCGTACTTACTTCGTACGATTTTGATGTACCGGATTCTACTCCATCCATTCCAAATTAAAGTGTCATTTTGGCTTTTCTAGCGCCCCCTACCGCGCCGCCGCCGCCGAAGCGCCCCAGAGGATGCCTCCGTGCCGCCGCCACCTGCTCCCTGCGCCCTACGGCTCTGCCTACTCTCTTCGCTCGAGTTCGAAAGGACAAGACATCGAAGACGGGGCTCCCGCGACCGCCGCTGCTCATCCCACTGGCCACTGCCGCCGGAGATTTCCCGCACTCGATTCCTGCCGCCGCTCGCCGAGTCCAGCCGCTATTAAACTTGTCCTCTCCCAACTGCCTAAGCCTAGCAGCACACGGGCGAATCGATTCAGTCGCAATCCTAGGACAGCCTGAATCCCTATCCAAACCCTAGCCGCGGGTAGCCGGCGGCGGGGGGCGTGAGGCCAAGGGCGGTGCGGCGGGGCCGGGGCTGGACGACGACGTGCTGAGGCTGATCGTGTTCAAGGCCGACGAGTCGGACCCTGACGGCCGCCTCGCGACTTGGAGCGAGGACGACGAGCGGCCCTGTGCCTGGGACGGCGTCACCTGCGACGCGCGCACCTGCCGGTCTCCGCGCTCTCCCTCGCCGGGTTCGGCCTCTCCGGCAAGCTCAGCCGGTGCCTCCTTCGCTTTGGCAGTGCTTGCAAGCTCTGGACGCCATATCGTTGGAATGCCCTGACGAGTGCCTCAGCCGGGGGTGGCAACTGCTGTGCTGCAGTTCTTCGACTTCTTTGTGACTAACGAGCAGGTAATGACACATGGGCGAGTGTTCTGTGGCTTGGGTCCAGTTTAGTTTGCAAAAAAATTTTGCAAAATTTTTCATATTCCCATCACATCGAATCTTTGGACGCATGCATGAAGCATTAAATATAAATAAAAAATAAAACTAATTACACAGTTTAGACGAAATCCACGAGACGAATCTTTTAAGCCTAATTAGACTATGATTGGACACTATTTACCAAATAACAACGAAAACGCTACAGTACTCATTTGCAAAAATTTTTTGCATCTAAACAAGCCCTTGATGTTCTTATGCACTGTTCGTCCTCTGCCTTCATATGTCCTGTGCTCATCAACTGTTTGTGCAAATGCCTACAGAAAGTGGCGCTCCAGATCGTCTGGAACATCTTCAGTGATTATGATGAAGTGAATGCACCTAAGGTCATGGAGGCTGTGCCTGCACTATGCATACTCGTGCAGTATTCTGATAGGATGGTAAGTAGGATTATATATTGATGGTTTCCTTGGTCGTTTCTTTTATATGGGAAAATATATTGATGGGCTGTTGATCCTTGTGGATGCTAGATTCTTGAATCTGCTATGCAAATTGATTTTCCATGTTATGTTCAAAAATAATTAATTGATTTTCCATATCAATTAATTCAGTTCTATGCAAATTGATGCTAGGCTTATTTTTGAGCTATTTCTAAAACTTTGACTAATCAGCTTTTGGGACAGTTATTTTGTCCGATGAGAATTTTTTTGAGGTGACATTGTGTCTTTAGTCTTTACAGGATTCTGCATGAGCTGTGGTGTTTGCTGGGTTTAATGATCAATATAATATAGGTGCTTGCAGAGTCAATTTCTTTCCTACTCTGCTCAGTGCACACATTACTATGTTCGAGGATGCTTGTATAGCATAATTAGGACCTTTGTTATGATTTTGACATGTCTAGGACGGCTTTCCGAAGTCTCCTGTTGAGCTGCTAACTGATAGTAACCCACTAACCCCTCTTGTTCATAAATGAACCTGCAACATATTACAACACTTCATGCTGTATTCTGTCTTGATTTAGGGGCTGCAAGGCAGGACAGGCTTGCCAGGTGGCCCCTTCTGCCACAATTTTGGCCACAAAAAAGGACTGGTCATGCATTCATGATCCCAATAGATGCTATGTTCTCGTGAAATGTTAGGCATCTTTGCCTCTTTTTTGCTAACATGCAACATGTTGTTTTGTTGCCTGAAGTTGCTTCATAATCAATGAATTTGGTCTCCTGGGAAAGCTACTTCCTGCTGTTCGCATGGCGGATTTTAAAATACAAATATCTGTGCAGCGGTATTATTTGCATATTTTTGGTCTATTACCGCCTGTGATCGGAAGGTCCCGGGTTCGAGTCGCGGTCTCCTCGTATTGCACAGGCGAGGGTAAGGCTTGCCACTAACACCCTTCCCCAGACCCCGCACAGAGCGGGAGCTCTCTGCACTGGGTACACCCTTTTTTAATATTGTGTGAAGATAATACTGTGTTATGAAAGTAATGAGTATTGGGCAATTCACCATCTCAACCTCTAGGTATTTTTCACCATCTCAAGCTCTAGCTACCAATTTGAATGTTGTGCATCGCTAAATCCTAATGAATAATTGAGTGTGCCGATTCCTCCTCCAGATTGTGTTGTGCGGTATGTTAGAACCAAATCATAGGTTTGGGGCTAGAATTTCAGTTTCATTAGCCTTACCACAACTATGGCAGGTTGGGGATACATATAGGGTAACTTGCTTGCAACTTAAGAAAGCTACAACATATTCTAGAGATGCTAAATTAGATGCTAAAGCAAGATAAGGATAAAGATAAGGGCTGACACAACCACCAACTACTCTAGATAAGTATCCTAGGTAAATAAGGACAAGACTTATAGCTGTCATTCTCCCCCTAAGTCTTGTGTGGCGCCTTCTGGGGAATTTGAACCATCCCAATCCTGGCGCGAAGCTCCTGGAACTTGACCCGCCCAAGGGACTTGGTGAGAAGGTCAGCGAGCTGATCCTAGGTGTTGATATAGCCGGCCTTGATGCTCCCCTCATCCAAGCAGCTCCAAATGAAGTGGTACTTGATTTGGATATGCTTGCTGCGCTCATGGAAGACGGGGTTCTTCGCCAAGGCCAAGGTGGACTTGCTGTCCACCCTGAGCTCCACTGCTTCTGTGTCTCTGCCCAAGAGATCGCCCAGCAGCCGAGCCAGCTAGAGAGCTTGAGTCGAAGCGGTTGTGGCAGCGATGTACTTCGCCTCATAATTGGACAGAGCCACCACTTGCTGCTTTACCAACTGCCAGCTGATCAGACACTTGCCGAGGAAGAATAGCGTCCCACTGGTGCTCTTGCTTGTGTCGATGTCGTCGGCGAGGTCGCTGTCGCTGTACTTGATGAAGTGCTCCGCACTGGGACACCTCGGGTAGTGCAAGCCGTAGTCGGCGGTGCCCTCGACGCAGCGAAGGATCCTCTTGACAGCCTGCTTATGTTCCATCGTCGATCACTACATGAACCGACTGATGTAGACAACGATGAACGCCAGGTCCGGCCGCGTGTGGGCGAGGTAGCGAAGGCTGCCCACAACGTGTCGGTAGTGCGTGGCGTCGACCTCCTTCGTCGTGCTGTCGCGGCTCAGCTTCAGCCTCTCCTCCATGGGAGTGTAGGTTGGGTTGCAGCCGGTGAGCCCGCCCAACTCGACGATGCGCTTGGCGTAGGTGGTCTGACAAAGGGAGATGCCAGAGCTATCCTGGTGGACCTCGATCCCCAGGTAGAAGGAGAGAAGGCTCAAGTTGCTCATCTGGAAGGTTGCCTTCATCTCCTCCTTGAACGCCTCCACCTCGGCCTCCTTGGTGCTAGTGATCACCAAGTCGTCGACGTAGACGCCTACCAATAGGGCATTGCCTCCCTTGCCCTGCCGGTAGACTGTAGCCTCGTGAGGACTTTGCTGGAACCCCATTTGCTTGAGGGTAGAGTCCAACTTGGCGTTCCAAGCTCGGGGCGCCTGCTACAAGCCGTAGAGGGCCTTGCGTAGGCGAAGAACCTTGTTCTCCTTGCCGTGGATGATGAATCCCGGTGGCTAGTGGACGTAGACCTCCTCCTTCAGTTCACCGTTGAGGAAGGCAGACTTGACGTCCATGTGGTGCACACGCCAACCCTCATGGGCCGCCAGCGCAAGGAGGAGACGAACGGACTCCATCCACGCGACGGGCGCGAAGGCGTCGTCGAAGTTGATTCCCTCCTGCTGGACGAACCCGCACGCCACCAGACGCGCCTTGTGCTTGATCATCGCCCTAGCCTCATCTTTCTTGAGCTTGTAGACCCACTTAAGGGTCATGGCGCGGTGGCTGGCAGGAAGATCTGCTAGCTCCCACGTCCGGTTCCACTCGACCGTGTCCATCTCCTGCTGCATCGCGGCGCGCCATGCCGCGTCTCCTTCCGCCTCAGCGAAGGAGCTAGGCTCACCGTCCTCGTGCGCCAGGTGCAGCTCCGCCTCGAAGTCGTGCATCGCCAGTCTGGAGACGAGCTGATCACCGAAGATGTTGTCCAAGGTGCGGTAGCGCAGAGGCTCGTCGTCGTGGTAGGCATCGACGCGATCCTCGTCGTCGAACAGCGGAGTGGCAAACTCCACCGCGCGCAGCTCGTCACGGACCAAAGCTGCTGGTGCCGATCTTGGAGGTGTGGCCAACGATACAGGAGATTGGGGAGCTGGTGTAGGAGAGCGGGGCGTAGACGATGGTACAGGTGGTGGAGGACTCGCTGGTGGTGTAGGCGGTGGAGGACTCGCTGGAGCTTATGGCGAACCGGGCGCTGAGGTAGACGAGCTCGGTGAAGATGAGTTGCTAGCTCCCTCGGCTCCCTCGAAGTGGACGTAGTCGACGACGAAGTCTCTGAGAGTCGAAGTCGAGCCGTTGTCCACCGCCTTGTCCCAGCCCCAGCCTCGCCCTTCGTCGAACACGATATCCTAGGAGATGCGGACGCGCTGTGTCGCAGGGTCAAGGATGCGGTAGGCCTTGACGCCCTCCGCGTAGCCGATGAAGACCCCCCCCGGCGTGCTCTGGTCGTCGAGCTTGCCGACGTGGTTGAGCATTTTGGTGAACGGAGGCAGCCGAAGACGCGGAGGTGGCTGACCGTCGATTTGCGCCCGTGCTAGGCCTCGTACAACGTCTTGCCATCAAGGGTCTTGGTAGGCGAGCAGTTGAGGAGATGGACGACAGTCATCACCGCCTCCCCCCAGTAGATTGCCGGCATCCCTCTCAGCTTGAGGAGGGCGCGGGCGGTGTCCACCATGGTCTGGTTGTGGCGCTCAACGACGCCGTTCTGGTGTGGGGTGTACGGGGCGGAGAAGTGGTGTTGGATCCCCTCGTCGGCATAGTACGCCGTGAACTCATCGCCGTGAACTTGCCGCCATTGTCAGTGCATAGCACCCGAAGCTTGCGGCCGCACTCCTTCGCAGCAGCTTGATGGCGTCCGCAGCTGCCGCCTTGGTGTCGAGCAGGACTGCCCACATGTAGCGGGACATGTCGTCGACGAGGAGCAGGAAGAAGCGCCGGCCTCCAGGTGTGGCCAGTGTCACGGGGCCGTAGAGGTCGCTGTGCACGAGCTCCAGCTTCTCCTTGGCGCGGAAGCTCGCCTAGCGGGGGAAGGGGAGCCGCCACTGCTTGGTGAGGACGTAGGTGTCACAGAACTGCTCTACGTGCTCGACTCATGACATGCCCTACACCATCTCCTTGTTGCCGAGCTGCTTTAGGGCCTCGAAGTTGAGGTGCCCAAAGCGCTCGTGCCATCGCCAGGCGTCGTCATTGCGGCGGGCTGCAAGATACCGGTTGTGCCACCTACACGTGGAGGACGTAGAGGTGGTTGATGCCTCTGTTCACCTTGGCGAGAAGGCGATCCCAGATGCGTAGGACCCCGTGCTCGATCTCCACGCGCGAGCCGTTCTCATCCAGTTGTCCCAAGCTGATGATGGAGTTCCTCAACGTGGGGATGTAGTAGACACCGGTGAGCAGCCGGTGCTCGTCGGTCTTGGCGGTGAAGACGACGGAGCCGACGCCCTTGATCTCCACGGCGGAGGCGTCCCCGAACTTGACGGAGCCTCGAACGCCGGAGTCGAGCTCGGAGAAGAACTCCCGCCGCCTGGTCATGTGGTGGGTGGCGCCGGTGTCGAGGTACCACCCGTCGATCTTGTCGACGTCGGACCCGTTGCCGAGGAAGACGTGGGCCCGCGGCTCGTCGAGGTGGAGGAGCACGGCGGCGGCCGGCGCGGGAGGTGAGTGCAGCTTGATGCTCCCGTGCATGAAGAACAGAGCCGCCTTGTCACCCTCCTGCGCTTGCGCGACGTGTGCCTGACCGCCGCGCTTCGCCTGCCGGCAGTCCTTGGCCCAGTGGCCGGTCCTGCCGCAGTTCTTGCAGGTGTCGTCGTAGGTGGCCTTGCGCTCGCCGTCGACGCCGTCAGGAGCGCCACCACGCGCCTTGTCCCGCTTGAGCGTCCGGCGCTTGCGGTTGCTCGATGATCCCGAGGCCGACAAAGCCGAGGCCTCCCCCTTCTTCCGCTCCCGCTAGTGGGCGAGCCACTGCTCCTCGGTGAAGTGAAGCTTGCAACCAATGGTGACTGGCTCTAAGGGTAGTTGCTCGCGGTGGTCGACGGCTTTGAGGCGGCCTTTCACCTCCTCGATCGTCAGCTCGGTGAAGTCCAGCAACGTCTCGATCGATAGAGCCAACTGCGTGTACTTCTTGGGGACGACGCGGAGGAGCTTCTCCACATCTCTCTCCTCGTCGATGTTGTTGTCGCCATACCGTGCCAACTGCTGCATCAAGGTGTTGAGGCGGAGAGCGAAGTCATCGATGTCCTCGCTCGGCTTGAAAGCCAGGTTCTCCCACTCCTGACGCAGCTTCTGAAGCGTGGATTTGCGGGCATGGTTGCTGCCGATGCGTGCCGCGGCGATGGCGTCCCAGGCGTCCTTGGAGGTCCGCTTGTTCACGAGGGGGACTGCATCTCCGTCGGAACAGCAGCAAGAAGCGCCTCCAACGCCCGCCGATCCTCCTCGAAGTCGACGTCACCGTACCGTACCGCGTCCCACATGCGCCGCGCTTGCATCTTCACCTTCATCACCATGGACCACCCGGCGTAGTTGGTCTTGGTGAGCTTGGGTCATCCGTCGCTGACGTCCTTGATGACGGTCTACACGACGGGAGGGGAGCCGGGTTGGCCACGGCGACCACGGCGCCGGTCCAGGGAAGGGGAGGCACGCCACGCGCCGCTCCTCCTGCTCCAGCCAAGCGTTGGCGTCGCGTGCCGCCCGTTCGTCCCGGTCCCGCGCGTCCCGGTCAAAGTCGCGGCTTCATCCGTCGAAGCGGCCCGCGTCGTGTCTGCCTCGGCCTCCTGCGCGCGTCCGCGCTTCGCCATAGGTCGAGGTCGCGGTCGTAGTTGTGGTCGTCCGGGTCGCGTGCGCCCCGGTTCCACGCCTCCCGCGTGGCACGCAGGTCCAGGTCGGAGCCGTTCAGGTCATCCGCATCGGGCCGAATCCGCTCGTCTCGTCCGAGGCCATCACGACCGTGTCCGCCTCCAAGACTGCATCCGCCTGGGAGATCGTCGAAGCCGTCCGCGTCCGCATCCTCCTCGAAGGCTCGAAGTTGTGATCCGCCCGACGGCGTACATCGAAGCCACACCTATCCGCGTCGTCGTAGTCGAGTCGGTCCGCGCCCGCCTCCGCGCGTTGGGCCGCTGCTGCAGCCGCTGCCGCCTGGGCAGCCGCCGCCGCTTCCCTGGCTGTCACGGCAGCCTGCTCGGCCGCGAGCTCTGCGGCCGTGAGCCGCTCCGCCTGGACCACTGCAGCCTGCAGCGCCGCCGCCTCCCACTCCCTCCTCTCTGCCTCCGTGAGCCGCGCCTCCCTCGCGTCCGCGTCGCGAGCCCGAGCGTTGTCCGCCCGACGCGCATCCCACGCAGCAGCCTGCCGGCGGCGCCCAGCAGAAGTCACAGACTCGATAGAGGATTGGGAGGAGTGGGAGTGGCTGCGGTAGGACATGGTGACGGATTGGGATGGGTAGGATTAGAAACCAGATAAACTTAGGCTCTAGATACCATTTGTTAGAACCAAATCATAGGTTTGGGGTTAGAATTTCAGTTTCATTAGTCTTACCACAACTATGGCTGGTTGGGGATACATATAGAGTAACTTGCTTGCAACTTAAGAAAGCTACAACATATTTTAGAGATGCTAAATTAGATGCTAAAGCAAGATAAAGATAAAGATATGGACTGACACAGCCACCAACTACTCTAGATAACTACTCTAGATAAGTATCCTAGGTGGATAAGGACAAGACTATAGCTGTCACGGTATACATTTAAAGTCGGCTGTGTTGAACAGCCTCATCGGCCACTCGGTCTTGGTGACCTCCTACCTCCTAGCCTAGAAGCTCAGTTCCCTTGCCTCCTCTTTTGGTATACTGGTACCTATGTTTATTTACTGGGTTTGGATGATGATAAGTTATTTGATAAATTGTAGATTGTTCAAACAAATGTATGGAGCCCGCGGCGCTGGTAACAGCAAATTAAGGCACAGGCACTCAGGTAAGTAATTACCTCTCTATTTGTGAAAGTCTATCAGTAACCATATGCCACTTAATAGACACTCTGCCTTTATGCCAAGCAAAGTGCATCGCTCTGGCGTTCTGCTGATTGTTCGAATTGGACACCGACTGTAAGGAGCTACAACATCAACATATCATTATTGTGATTCCAAAGGTGATCCATGGTTTCAAATTCACATATATGATCATTAATATGGCTTCTATTCTTTGGCAGAACATAATTTTACATACAAGATTTGCTTTCCTGAACTACAGAACCAGCTGTAAAAATGAATTAGCAGTTGGACTAATGCTATGATTTGTATATGATTCTTTAGACACATGACAAGAATAGAGATAAATGTATATGACTGAGGTGCCATTGGTGCATTGACAGGATCAAAGTGGTGAATAAGGACGTGTTTACTGCAATTTTGAACCATGTTGCCTAAATCAGGTGGGGCTATGCATAGGGATGCTGTCGTGCTCGTCAACGACGATCCAGGTGAGGGGAAAAATTACATCTTGCAAAGCTGTTCCACATCAGACTGAGCGGAGGTATTTGATGTGAAGCTAAAACTGTGCTGCAGGTTGCGTGCGGAGACAGAGTATTTGAAGGAGCAATGACATTCATGTGGTCATGTTTCTGAAATCCAAGTCTGTACTGGAGGGGATCTCAGCACCAGAATTGTTCATGCCCTGAGGTTGTTTCCTACTTATTCCTATCTATCTCTGCTTTTCTTATATTGTGATGTGCTGGCTATTTGTGATACAGCTAATGTTTCTCAATGATCCATTATTTTAGAAAATGAAATCGTTCTACATAAATCTCAAAACATCTTGCATGTGCATCAGTATCACTAATCCATTTTTTTTATTTTGCATCAATCAATATAAATTTTAAAGTATGTACAGACTACAGAGAGTACAAGCTGCTAATTAATGAATAATCTGACATCTTTTGCCATTTGCATTTTTCTGATATCAATACAAAACTTGTTTCCACTTGTATTTTGCCATTTTAACACTTTATTAATGGAAGCGTAATTTTTTCTTTATAGCTTTTATCACCAAATCAATTGTATGTATTGTCTCCCGTTGCGTTAGCACGGGCAGTATACTATTTATTATAACAGGTTAGACTTGATCAAATTAAGTGTGTTAATCACTCAGGCACTCCAGCATGGCAAATTGGCAACACTAACCTGAATCTGATTTGTTATGTTTCAGCTAATCATCGATGACAAGGATGAGAAGCTGGTGGGCTTAAAGGAACAACTTGGCGAGGTGAGGTGTACAAGGTCGTGACTAATGCTTGAGATCAATGAGTACAATGCTAGCAACAACTACGTGGTATCTGAACTCTAGAACAATAGAGAGAACCGAAAGTCCAGCATAGAAGTCATACATCAATGCCGGAAGCAATGGAAGGACATGAATCGCTAGAACAAGCTAAGGTCTGTATAATCCTCTGAAAATTTGGTTTGTAGATGCAGTGAGCTGGTTTCATTCTAACCAATACTGTTTTGTTAAGGTCCTTACTTGTTCATCGGCATGATTATAGTGCAGTATGCTAATTGAATGTGTGCAAAAGGTGAATTTGAATTTAGTTAGGTTCTGAGCTACTAGACTACTGAAAGTTAGGTTTCATTGCATCCTTGTTGCTGTTGGCAGTAGCAGGGTTGCCAGACTACAAAGCAAGATGAAACAAATCTGCCCTTTCGGCTCCTCCAATCCTGCCCACGCTGCAGCCGGGGTGGGGCGATCATGGATAGCGACTTTTGCCACGCCCACAAATTCAGGTCAACATATAGCTCGTGCACCATCTGCATTCAATACTCAGACACCTGACCAAATTAAAAAAAAAAACTTTGGCAGGTTCTTGGACAAGGCGTGGACCATGAAAATGTCTCAGTTCATCCTTAAATTGGCTTCTTTCCTTAGTCCTTCATCAAAATTTATTTTTTATCATGATTTTTGCTACCATGTAAGAAATTGTGTCCCTCTGGGACAACTTCCTCATCTTTTTTTATACTTCTTTTTATTTGTATTTTTTAGTGTACTTTGTTTTATACAGTATTTTAGTATTATATGCTAAGCTATTGACTAACCATTGTAATATTTTTATTTAAGCTCTTATGATGATGGAATAGTTGCCACCAAATAATATGATTTTGCAGAAAAGAAGTATAAGCAGCACTTTATAGAGGTCTACAGAAATATTGAGAATTCCTGTACGAGCTCCACTAGGAATTCCATTTTGTTCATTAAGTGTGGGTGGTGCAAGGAAATTTCCACCTCCACCAATTGTTGCAGGTGAGGATCACATTAACAACTGTTTTGATCATGGTGGGTTGTTCAACACTGAGCTGCTGCTTAGACGGATGGAGAAAACAGCAAAAATGCTGGGTTTAGCTGGTGTCACAACGGATAATGCTGAGCTTATGTATATTGCTCTGGATTAGTACATGAAAATACGTCAGGTCATCTGTTGAGTTAGTAGGAGGTCTTATTGATTAGGGTATCGCATCACTCCCCTCTAATGAAGGGTAATGCCTGTACCTTTTCTTTGTTTTGGGAATTTATGGGTGCCACTATTCTATATTTGTGTCAACTTCCTTTAAACTGTGACAATAATGCAGGATGTGTTGGTTGGTCCGAACTTAGAGGTGACAAATTAGTGGCTCAAATTTTCATCAGGTTGCTTTAGTCAGTTTGCCTGTTGTTGTATGTGGATATTTAAATTAGACAAACTAAGGGATATTTGTTAATATGGTTAGACGTAAAAAAGGTGATCACCATCTCTTTTTGTTTTCTGATCGCTCAAATGTCTATGTTTATTTATACACTAGTTTCACGTGGTTCTATCATTGGATTTACGATTTTACTTTTTTTTTTTATGCAGTATATGGCTGCAGTGAATGTTTCAATGGAACGACGATATGTTCAAATGAAAATTCATCCGTGAAAAAAACCATTGCAGATGACATAGGTAGGTAACTAATATAGAATCACCGTCGCTTGCAGTAATAATACATATAATTTAACTATTTCTATATATTGCTGATGGTGAATCTTGCCACAGACATTTAGATGGATATCTTATTCTACAATATATATATATCTACGTGAAATAGATCTAAAGCCATACGTATTTATACGGTGAATATAACATACTTTGTTTTAAAGTTTTGTGAGTGATTTTTCAAGACACATGGTATTACCCATGTGACATGCACTAATATTTACATATATATTCGAACCTGTGTACATGATGGTATGGAGATGCGGCGGAACTTATTCGTGGATTTATTGGTGCACGAAAGAAATAGATATCGGAGATTTCTTTCCGCCGATATAAAACATTATCTTAGCCGGCAACATATAAAGTTTTATACAATAGAGTTTGTGAGCCTGCGACCTGCGCTCTCTGTGACTATGTTAATTTCACGAACTTTGTTTTTTTTATTAAATGTCATTTTAATGTTGGTATTTAATTTTATAGTATTGTTATCTTATTGTACGATCCGTGTGTTTTTAGTACAAAAATTTAGCTATTCCGTAGCGACGCACGGACATGAACTAGTACTGGGCTAAAGATACAAGGGCTCTTGTATGGTTTTCAGAATCTTCATTTTGGTCCTCGATTTCACGTTATATTGAGTTGAACTGACTCTTCTATGGCTAAAGCAATATACGATTTTCCAATTCCAATTATTAATGACCGTACTTCATACAATTTTGTTGTACCAATCTGGATTCTACTCCCTCCACTCCAAATGGCTTTTCTATTGGTCGCATATATTAGCATGTATTCAAACTTGTATAATGGAGTTTGCTCATGTTTGACTGCTTGCATATGCTCTTATTATGCAGGCTTACACAGTACTAAGTAGGCTCAATGCTCCATTAGCAGATTTGGTCGGCGTCCCCACGTCCAGCCGCTGGGTGCCCGCGCATCAGCGGCTCATCCCACAGCCGGTCGTGCGTGTGCCCGTGCACCAGCGCCGCAGCCAGCAGTGTAGGGTGTTGGCGCCTAGCGGCCGCCATCGTCGTTGTCGTGAGATAGGCCCTATAGGTTCATGACGTATGCCAGGTGACCACCGACACCTCCGCGCGTCCATCCTCCAGATGTGCTTCCTCGACCCTATGTTCCTCGAGCGGCTGCGCCTATCGACACCGATGGCTTCACACTTGTTCAAAGCTATCGGCGCGGGCGCCACCATGCCCCGCCTCACTATCGTCGCCAGCGGCCAGTGCCGCCTTCGCTCGTCGGCCTCTGCTGTTTGGTTGGGGATCACATCGCCGCCCGATACACGGGACAGGCCCTCCTCCTACTTTTGTTTTAGCCTCGCCTTCAGTCCAACCCACCTCTGTCGAGGACTTAATCGCCGGTCTAAAGCTACCGCTTGAGAAGCCGCTGATCCAGTCGCCGCCGCGCCTTCGTGTCTCA